GGGTCATATTTCAAACAGATGATCCTGGTGAATTTACTTTGTAATTCTCATCTGATGTTGGATTGTCATTTCTTCACCAGCCATCAGGATATACTTCTCCGGTCTTCGCCCGCTTGGCGCCGCGGGCGGCTGCCGGCCGCGGCCCCTCAGTCGGCCGCTCTGAGGCGGGGCCCCCATTGCAATATTCTGTTGATTTTTTGACTATTGCTCCTTAAGAGTCAATTGTGGATCCAAGTGAAATGAAATCTTTGATCTTTTCTCTATTTGACATGGTGTTTATTGGTCCAATTGTGAAGATTCTTCTTTTGCCTGCATTGAGGTTTAATCCGTACCGAAGGCTGCAGCCATTGATGTTCATCAGTTAAGGCTCCAAATCCTCTTGGCTTTCAGCAAACAAGGCTGGTGCATCTGCAGTGTTAATATGTCTTCCTCCGATCCTGATGCTACATTCCACTTTCTATAACCCAGCTTCTCAGAATATGTTCTTAGCATACAAATGGAACAAATACGGATTTTCTTCTAAATGAGGGAGGGCTCTCCACAGTCCGTACCATCACAGAGAAGTTTTTAAGTTATTTTCCTCAAGCGATTGCTACTGTTCTTTCGCTAACCATTGTACCTCGTGCTCATTACACTCCAGTCCCAGCAGCCTCTCTCGTTCCTTGGAGAAGTGAAGCCCACTTAGAGTTCCTGTTCTCCTTGTCTGCCAGGCTCTTTCTTTGGGTACCCATCTATTTCTCTCTCAATTTTATTTAGATTTCCACTCAGATATAATTATCACGTGTTTGCCATCTCAAAAGTATTCTCTATCCAAAAACTCTAAACAAATATCAATTTTTCAAAAAGATAGCAGAAAAGAGTGACCTGTGAAGGAAATGCAGAAGTAAAAACTGGTAGACGGAAAGAGAAAAGCGGAATAAAATATGTCTTCAGGCTTGTTCTCAGCAGAGAAAATACAGTCAACAAAGTGAACATCACACGAACGTGACAAGAGATAGGAAGGCTCTTTTTAAATGGTTACCTCTAGCCAAGGACAGAATGCCAGACTGTGTGGTCTTAAAGAACAGAAATCATTTTTTTCTAAATTCAGAACACGGGGTCTCTGGGGAGGGTTTCTAAAATCTGCCTGTTCAGTGGGAAAATCCCTCACTCCAGCGCCCTCAGAACCTTGGCAATCTCCACCAGTCACCTTTATTCTTCTCATTGTGTTTGTTCCTTTCTTTGACTAATCTGCACTTTTTTACATCTTAAAAGTCAAGAGGTTTAATACACACACTACACTGATTTGGCCTCATTAGCATAACAAATAAAACTAATCACAAAGGGTATGGGGCTTAAGGTTTCAACACATAATTATTGGAGCATACAGCTCAGTCAATAATTTCTCCTCTTTACACTTTTTTTCTATGGATGATTTATTGTTTCCTTCCTTTTCTTTTCAACCCTGACAGCATAATCCTTTTTGCTTGATGTGTGAACTTGTTGTCTTCCAGCTTATAACATTGTAAAATGTAACTTATATCTTAGCACCTCTGTAAATTAATTTAATAATGCCTCCCTGTCTGAACTGGACCTGAAACCATCATGCATGCAATCCTGGAAGGAAACTACTCCCATAAAGGTTTGAATTAAAAACAATGAGTCCTCACTACTCACAGATCTTATATTTGTGAATTTGACAAAATTGTGAGTTTAATAAAATTTATTTGACACCAAAATCAATAATTGAGTCACTTTTGCAGGCATGCACAAAGCTACCAAAAAATTGGAATCGCCTAATGCACACATTTCTGTCTGAGATCAAGCAAGACAATGCTCTGCCTTCTTGCTCTAGCTCTTATACTATCATCAGGTGTCTTTCCCCCAGTCTAATTAGTGCCAAGTTTCTCTCCTTTTTGTGCTTTCTGTTGGTGATTTTGCAGAGCCCTCAAGAAGACTGTGTATTATATAAGCTTCACTTGGGTGTTAGTTACAGTTGTGGTAGATGTGACTTAAATATTAATAAACGAATAACATTAAATAAAATGTTTTTTTAAGACATCCATACAATAGTATTGGCTGATGAAAATGATATGTCCAGAGGTTCTCTGGAACATAATCCTATGTTTCCCTAGGAGTAATAGTTTGGTATTTACTAATGCAGTTTTCATGGTAAAAAGAGGCTTGATGGCATAGTGACTACATATTGGGTTGCTTACTTCAGGGTCAGCAGTTTGAAACTATCATCCACTTCATGGCAGGAAAAAAAAAAAAAAAGAGGCTTTCTCCTGTAAAGAATTACAGTCATGGAAACCCAGAGGAGCAGTTCTACCCTGTCCTGTAGGGTCACTATGAGTCACCATCCATTTGATGCCATGAATGAATTCATGATAGCGTTACAGATTAGAACTACCACAAATCATGAGAATCTGATGGTGTGTGTATGACTCATGTACATGCTTGTGTATGAAACTTGTTATCAATTAAGCATATTTAGCATTGTTCAAATGGAGAAAGGTACTGTATTTAATGCAGACTAACAAAACTAACACATTTCAAATATATTAATAGTGCCATAAGAGAGTTATCTATAGGTAAATAAGATATCTGCTGTGGTTAGTGCTGTAGCAAAAGGAAAGGACTGGAAACTTGGCGTCAAGAAAGGACTAGATTACACAAAGAAGAGAAAGGGAAATGAGTGGAGGCTTATTTCCTGTGTAGATCTCACAAATGCATGTTGGGCTTCCAATGTCATCCATAGTCATCTGCAAACCAGAAGCTCACAATTTAGGCTCTGATTATATTCCCTCTTTGGGCTTCAGATTATATGATTTACAATCCTTGGATCACAGATGTTCTTGTGCTTCTTCCATGTGGGCTTAATTGACATCTCACTTAGATGACTGCTTATTTGGAAACAAGCCTTTAATATCCCCAGACACTACTTATCTGGTTGCTGGGCACCATCTAATTTCTTTACCACACTTTACTATAACACCCATATTTTCCTTGTTCCTTTCCTGAGGGTGAGTGTGGCTATGAAGTTAGACCTAATTGTTCTTAAATTCGAGCTAGGATTTAATGAGAGCCCCAAATCAATCCCTGGATCTATGTTTTTTTTTAATCTGCCTTTGGCTCCCCTTAGAGACCTCCTTGTTAATTTAGGGTAGAGAGTCTTATTGATCATCTCCCTGGAGCATAAAGATCTTCTGTTAATATTGTCATTGATTAACCCCTAGTATAAGTTTTTAAAACACTGTTGAGAGAGGGATATTGGACTAGTTTACTCAAACTACAAATCACAATACTTGAATTACTTACTTGTACAAAATAAATCTCTACAGAAACAATGGGATTTTGTCGTCAGGGAAATTTTACAATAGTATTCACTGACACTGTCAATCACAGGTCTGCTGGAATAATATATATCTTAGTACAGCAAATAGGGCATTGATGTACTAAGTAGATGTTTGTCCTCCTGTTGACAGTGTAATACTCAGTATAACCCTATAACGCCGAGCGCGACATTTTCATAACATTTAATTAAATGTATATATTAACATCTATAATGATAACTATGAAAGTAAAGAATAAAAACAAAAAATGGTTTTTCCTGAAATTAAAAATTCAGGTGTTATAGGGATATCTGTCTTTTGCTTCTTCAAACACCATGACATTTTAGTCTTAAGTCCTCAGGTTAGAGGTGTGTTTGAGGTAAAGTCCAGTTCACCTAATGGAGTTTCCATATCAACCTCTCTTGTGTGACCTTTGGAGCATGTTGTATGCCTTGAAGATCTGGGATTCAATGCCCAAGTGTTCTGTGGCACTTAGCCTGGGTCCTATCTATTTTTCTATACTATATAACATTGCTGTTCTTTTCTGGTGTCCCACCCTTATTGGAAAATATCAGCACCTTACTGAAATATTCATATTTTTTATTCTACATATGGAGTCTCAGTAGTGTCTACTATGCTATCACATGTAACACCTTCATTTTTCTGCTTTTCTTTTTCCAGGATGGGAGAACTGTCCAAAAGCCACAAAGTCAACTCAAACACATGATTCATCATTTCAAGGACTGACAATAAAAAGATCTAAAAGTAAAGGACTGAGAGACTTTAAATCAGAAAGACTCTGTGTATATGAAGAGAGAATAAAGAAGCAGCCTAATAAAAAGGGAAGTTTTCAGATCATTTCAGTCACTCACAAAAAAATCCTTACTATAGAAAGAATCCATAAAAATATTGAATTTGGTCAAAACTTCAACCTGAAGTCAGGACTTAGTAGACAACAAATTTTAACTAGAGAAAAACCACCTGTAAAATGTGAGATGCCAGGAAATGGCTACAAACAGAATTCAGATTTGCTTAACCAACCAAAAATCAACATGGCAGAGAAGCGCTATAAGTGTAATTTATGTGAGAAAACATTCACTAACAACTCATCCCTCCGTAAACATCTGAAAAACCATAACGGAGAGAAATTATTTAAATGTAAAGAATGTTCAAAGGCCTTCAACCAAAGTTCAGCTCTTATTCAACATCAAATAACTCATACTGGAGAGAAACCATATGTATGTCAAGAATGTGGCAAAGCTTTCACTCTTAGTACATCTCTTTATAAACACCTGAGAACCCATACTGTGGAAAAATCCTACAGATGTAAAGAATGTGGAAAATCCTTCAATCGAAGGTCAGGACTTTTTATACATCAAAAAATTCATGCTCAGGAAAATCCCTATAAATATAACCCAGGTAGGAAGTCATCTCTTCCTGGATGTCAGAGAATTCATCCCAGAAAGAAGTCTTATCTGTGTAATGAATGTGGCAACACCTTTAAATCTAGCTCATCTCTTCGTTATCACCAGAGAATTCACACTGGAGAGAAACCTTTTAAATGTAGCGAATGTGGGAGAGCCTTCAGTCAGAGTGCATCTCTTATCCAGCATGAGAGAATTCACACTGGAGAAAAACCTTACAGGTGCAATGAATGTGGAAAGGGCTTCACTTCTATTTCCCGACTTAATAGACACCGGATAATTCATACTGGTGAGAAGTATTATAATTGTAATGAATGTGGTAAAGCCTTAAGTTCCCACTCAACACTTATTATTCATGAAAGAATTCATACCGGAGAGAAACCGTGTAAATGTAAAGTGTGTGGGAAAGCCTTCAGACAAAGTTCAGCGCTCATTCAACATCAGAGAATGCATACAGGTGAAAGACCCTATAAATGCAATGAGTGTGGGAAAACATTCAGGTGTAACTCCTCTCTCAGTAATCATCAGAGAATTCATACTGGAGAGAAACCATATCGATGTGAGGAATGTGGAATATCATTTGGCCAAAGTTCAGCTCTCATTCAACACAGAAGAATCCATACAGGAGAGAAACCCTTTGAATGTAATACATGTGGGAAAACTTTTAGACAAAGCTCATCTCGTATTGCACATCAGAGAATTCATACTGGAGAGAAACCATATGAATGTAACACATGTGGGAAACTTTTCAACCACAGGTCATCCCTAACTAATCATTATAAGATTCATATTGAGGAGAACCCTTAAAAATATATTTGCATGTGTGAAAGCCTTAAACCAAAGCTCATTATAGAATAAATACTTGAGTGATATAATAAAATAACACACAATTTCTACAATAATGTATTCCTCGTCACATATATTACAAGGATAAACTTTGAATACATAATAAACATGAGGAACACATGACTACACTTTTTAAAGCTGAGATGAAGAATTTCACAAAAGGACACATTGGATATTTATAAAACAAAAGGTTTCAGTTTTTTTTCGCTAATGCAATGTCAGTGTACAATAGATATTGTAAGTATCAAATATCTTGGAGGCTATAGTTATGTGTGCTGGATTCTCACTAGAAAAACAAACTACAAACAAGTAATATATTTTTATAACATTTTAATAACATGAAATAATTGATCAAAGAATTTATGCATTGTTAAAAGGACAAAATAAAAGACAAAACAAGCTAATCTACCTCTTAGTCTCTCGAGTTTGTCCTTGTCCTGACTTACTATCACTTTTGTGCCCGAATTTCACTGAAAAATAAAATGTGTGCTCTTTTTCCTTTGGCCATGCAATTATTATTAGGAGGGAGTATTCAGTCCAATTCCCTTTCTAAGAATTTTTCATTTTTAAACTGCAATCCCAAAGATCTCCATGCTGTATACTGTGTGCTGTCATCTGTGCTATATTACATGGAAAAACATAATTTTAAGAGTTGTTATTAGTTGCTGTCGGGTCAGTTCTGACTCCTAGTTACCTGGGTAACATAGAACAAAACACCCATGCTCGTGTCATCTTCACAATCAGTTAGATGTTTGAGCTCACTTAGCAATCGTTGTGTGATAAAGAGCCACATGGCAGGACCATTTCTCAAGAGGGTGGTCTACTTCCAAAATGGACACTGTGGAAAAACTTGCTTGTTTTCTGTTTGGTCTGAACCCTGCATCAGATTCTTCCCCCAACCTCCTTTCTTTAGATGTGAGCCCATGGTTTGCCATCTTGCCTGCTGATCCCGGGACTCATCATCAGCCTGCATATTACCTGCCAACCTTGGATTCATTGGCCTATGCAGCCAGAAGCTTGCCTTCTGTGTTAGTCTGGGTTGACTAGAGGAACAAAGCCAGAGACACTCATGCATATGTAAGAGAGAGCTTTATATCAAAGGATAGTTGTATATTAAGAAAACATCCCAGCCCCGTCCAGTTCAACTCCATAGATCTGATATTAGTCTATATGTCTGAAATCAGTCTATAAATTTCAGACTCACATAACACATGCAATGATGCTGAATGCAGGAAGATCACAGGCCAGTCGGTGGAAATTCTTGTGGATCCAGTGATGATGGAAGCATCTCAGCACTGGCAGGGGTCTTCACATGGCTCTTCCAGCTCCGGTGTCTGGATCCATCAGTGTAGCGCCATGTGGCTTGTCAACAGGAATGTGCAGCAGTGTGTCTGGCTGCAGAGTGAGAGTGTGTCTGGCCTCTAGTGAGCTATTTATCTCCTTAGCAGCTCCAAATGAGATCATCAAGCTGTGACCTAATTGACAAGCTACACTCCACCCTTTCACTCTTAATAGTCTCATGTTGACACCAGATTATGTAAATACCACACCTTCTGACCTGCTGATATGGGTTCTTAGCCCATGTACCTACGTAACTCAAGAGATGCTTTCAACCTGACATAAAATCCACAGATTTGGAACTTGCTGGCCTCTAAAACGGTATCTGCTAATTATTTGACATAAGTTATATATACATATATCCGCTGCATTCCTTTTGCTTCTCTAGAGCAGGGCTTCTTAGACTTTTCCCCCTCTTAACCCCTTTTTACCTGAGAAATTTGCAAACAAGAAAGAGCTACCAGAAGCATGTGGATTCATTACACATTTGATTTTGAGTTAAATTTTGGTCATTCGGCACTCAGAAACCTTTTCCAAAACCAAACTCATTGTGATCGAGACAATGCTGACTCATAGTGACCCTACAGGACAGGGTAGCACTGCCTCGGACAGGTTTCTGAGACTTTTTTTAAAAATCGTTTTATTA